GCCACATCTAAAGACACGAATAAAACGGTTGCATCCCCGAAAAGACTACCTCCAGACATCCCTCTCCATCAAGGTGGTCCATGTGGCCGTCATCATAATTCGTATAATCCATCGGCGTTGCGTCCATCCAACCGAAATCCATTTTGCCGAGCCCGGTCTGATATCGACAAGTTTTTTGCGCACAACAGCAGGCGTCGGGCCCCCCTTATACCTCTCTTTACTATATCGAATTTCACTTCGAAACCTTCCATACTGACCAGGGAAATGCACTAGGGTTGGCATTTGAGGAAACCAATCGATTGGATTGAAATCAATGCTTGGATTGACCGGATTGTATTGAAATCGATTTTTCAAATGAATCCGATCGATCGAATCTGCATAAAAACCGGTTTGAATAGAATCCGATTTGATCGGTTTTCGAAAAACCGGATTTTGATTCGAAACCGATCGATCGGTTTCGGAAAAAAAATCGGATTGCAGGCGAGAACCCGAGCGGAAATGAATTGATTCATGCTGAATTTTGGACGCAAATCACGATATTTCTCATTTTTTGTGCTGAAATTGGGGTTTAGCTCATAACTTCCAGAGCCATTATGTCTGGAAGGAATATATCGATTTTTTTGGAGGCTAAGAACGGCTTAGTTTCACTGCGCGCAAAGCACCAAAAAAAATGAGGCACATCGTGATTTGCATCCAAAATTCAGCATAAATCGGTTCATTTCCGCTCGGTTTCTCGCCTGCAATCCGATTTTTTTCCGAAACCGATCGATCGGTTTCGAAGTACAAACCTGTTTTTCGAGAACCGATCAAATTCCGGACCGCTAGAGGGGGTGCTTTTTTCTGGGACACCCTGTTTTCCGAATCTGTGATAAGAATCTGCTAAATAAAAAGGAAAAAAATGTTATAAAGCCTCGAAATTGGCAAAATCGCCAAAGACCGGACCTTTAAGGGACTGTAAAAACCGGGAGAACGAGTTGCGCAAGCAAGTATTAGCACACCTTGTTCAGCAGAATAAGCTCTTTCGACTTTTCAGAAATTTTTGCCAGTTATTTATTGAACTTTTCTTAACACCGAACTTCAGATGTCACAGAAAGTTCTGGGAATACCGGCTGGGATTATAAAGAACTAGAGATGTTACGAATCAAGTAATATAATGACCAAGTAAATTTACTTGAACAACTTTATTTGCATGGAATTTTCAAGTAACTATAATTTGATCTTGATTGATTTGGGAGAATTACTTGATTTTCAGCGAAATTACTTGATTTTGTGCAAATTCGCAATGCAAATCAGGCAATCGTGCTGCAAACCCAGTAAATTAGCATATTATCATGTCATAAAGTTCATTACCATCCATAAAATGCCAGATTTCCAGAAAGCTATTGTTTGATCAAGTAAATCAAGTAAATCAAGTAATCTTACTTGGCTCTTTCTCGAGCGGAGTCAAATAATATTATTTTACTTGCTCATGCGCTCAGCCTCATCCAAATAAAAATAATATTGTGCCAATGTATTCAAATAATCTTGATTGTTAATTGATTCTTAACATCTCTATAAAGAACTTACGCGTTTGGCTCCAAGCCGAACGGTGTCTCGGGCGCCTTCGACGATCTCCGTGCTTCTCATATCTAGGATTTTGCTTCGGGTCTTTTGCATTTGTTGGAGTGGAAACGCGTCCTTTTAAAGGGGCTGAGAAGTTTAGTCCACCTCCTCGGCTATTTGGGCAGGAAATGCGGAAATTTCAAATTATGGTGGCAGTGCTGGTACCCTCAGGAAATTTTCTATCTTATGGCCATTTGAATTGTTAAAATTGGACACGGCATCATCGAGATTGAGGGGTTGGTTGCTTCTACGGGCATTACGACATGTAGTCTTCACCTGCTCCTAAAAGTCGATTTCGCCCCGAAAATTTTCGCTTTTTCTCAAATATTTTGCATTTTGCGCTAAGCAATCAATGCCATAGTACGCTCCGGCAGTAAACTTTTAGTTTTTGACCAAGCTCAAACTCAGCGCACGCAAATTTTCACTTCGGAGCCCCTTTAAAGTCGCCCACGGCAGTTGAAAGGTTCGATTAGTTTGTTGCGCCAGGAGCTTCAGACTACGGGGTAGGTTACAAAAAGACGAAATTGCACCGAGGTATGGTAAGGCTAGGTGGAGCCGCAAAAGTCTCAACACAAATGTCCCCACCGCAGAAGCCGTCTGGCCCTCACCAAGAACAGCAGCATTTTCTTCTGCCGAGTGGATGGTGGGTAGCCCGGCTCCCCGCTTCTCACAAGCAGCTGCTGCAGTACCGTAGTCCATGGGCTCATTTTCGCGCTTAGAAAGCGTTTAATTTGAAAATGATGTTTTACCAAGTAACATTTATCGGTGGCGCGTCCCAACGTCCAACCGTCTTCGCAGACATACTAAATACATCAGTGGAAACAATGAGGCGGTTAGATGCACGGAAAAACGTGGATTGACTTGCCGCCGGACGCTGACAGACGGTAACGGCCTCAGAAGGGCAGGTGACGTCCACCCATTGTTCTGTAGGCGACATCTAAAACGTTCCGTAAAAACGACGAACTTAAATCGATGCAGAAGGGCGGATCGGAACCACAGCCAATTCACCTCACAACTAATGTAGAAATTCAGCAACTTAGCCCGTGTTCAAAAGGGAAAACCCGGAAAATTTTACAAATTTGTTTCTCAAATTGCAAACGGCAGTTTAATGGGCCCTGTGGAATACTAACAAGGGAAGGTCGGTTGGGTCAGGTGTCAAATTGACTTGAAACTTTGCCAGTGGATAGAAAATCAAAAATAAAGTGTAGTTTCTTAATCTCATTTTCTGCACAATGCCCCAAATAAAAAAGTTATAGGCCTTTGAAGTTACATAAAAAAGCACGAAACGCCCGGACAATCCTGACTTGGCCCTCATTCTGGGCTCCCCCCTTTTCAAGCTCTTGCGTCGCCCGAATTGGCAAGCTGTTTGGTGCAGTAGGTAGTGCTGTAGTGTGCAAAACTTTTTGCTTGCTGACTTTTTGAAAAATGCTCACAACTTTTTAATCAGGGGTATTGTGCACAAAACTAATAATCCCACTACGGTACGGGATTTCTTAAACTTGTCAAAAAAGCGGCCCAGTGAGCTTACATTCAAACAATCCTCCCAATCTCCCTTGTTGTCCATCTCGTCATCTTTGAAATTCTTGTATGTCATCGGCGCCTTGCTTGTCCACCCGAAGTCCAGTTTTCCTTGACCATTCTGGGGCCAAGTTTAATTAATCGTTGGTCGACTTACGCGGACAGCCCCGAGCCGGATACTGTCGCTCTCCTTTGGCAAGGCCTCAAGTTGAAGCATGGCTAGAATTGGTTCAAAGGTCCTTTAGGATTTGCGGGGGATATTCATAGATTTTTCACAAGTAGCGGATACATTTGTAATTACTTTTAGCTATCGCCAAGCGTAAAAACTTAATAAAATGGAAAAAATAATACCTTGAAAAGCCGTATCCTACTATATATAAAAAAATAGTGTCTGTGTGTGTGTGTGCATTTGCATGCAACTTCCGTCAGCGTGTTCCAGCAGTATCTCAATATTGGGGGTGTTTAGGGGTACGTTTTATACGTCATTAGGTGCGTAATGGCCTGGAGATGGCTGCACACTCATGAAATTACCAAAAATTTGCTGTTTTCGATGTTAAACTTAAGTTTTTTGTTGAAAAATCGAGAACCCTCTTTGTTAGGAAATGATTAGCATACGCCGGAAGTTGTGGTAGCCTATATAATGGGGTAGAGAGCGGGCGTTTCTCATTTTTGTCATAGAAAATCGCGAGAATTATGCATAGTGAAGAATAACATGGGTTCCGACGGGGCCAGGGTTGAAAAGTCGCGAAGCGACTTTTCAACCCTGGTTTTACCTAGAAATGTCAAAATGACCATATTTTCGACTTTCCAAACAATTTACTACCTTGTTGAAAAAGTTTCATACCTTAAATATGGTTCAACACTTCCTAGCAATTATAAAAAAAAACACATTTTAGATTCAGTTACTAGGCTAACCTGGCCCTTCTGAGAAAAATGTTGGTCTCCCCCGAAAATCTTAAATCACCGTTTAGGCCATCTCAAAAACAAATGGTAATACCGGTTTCCGATGAGAATCCCGCAAATTACGATTTTCGGGATTTAAATTTTCGGCTGTCCGATTTTCGAAAAACGGATTGTCGGGAATCGGATCTCCGGAAATATAAGCAAACTCCGGAAAAAAACATACCGTGGACAGCTGAGTTTTCCTGAGCGGAGAGGATTTCGGGAAGGATGGCGTCGAGCTGCGCGCAGGCAGCGATGGCCGCCTTGTGGTTGCAAAGCTCAGGCAGGCGCTGTAGAAAGAATAAGGGGTAGCGACAAAAAGAGTCTTTTAACCTTGTAGCATTTATCGGTCGCCGTGCCAAGCAGCCATCCTTTGGCACAACCGATCTAAGAGAGGCCCAAGAGTTAGGTCAAAGAATTATTTCTGGTACTTTTCGGCAATTTCCGTCGATGCTCGTGGATCCGGTAGCGCAACCCGCCGGACCCGCCTTGACGGTGAAGGTGACGTGCGCTAAAATGCGGGTTTTAAGGGATAAGATATGCCCATTTAGAGCAAGGATGATCTACAATTTGCGGCGCGCCAATCTGCAACGTTACGCAAAAAAAACAGGGAAGGGCGCGGGTTTTGAAAAGCGGGAACCGAGGCAATTTATGCAAATCTCATGTGAAAAAACCATTCTTCTGCTAATTGGCCCGGCCTTTTCTGATCCGTTTAATTCGTTTGGATGGTTGAACATACCTGCAAGGCAAATGAATAACAGAACTTTGGTATGTATGGGTATGTTGGTAAGCAGTGTATGTTATTTACTTGCGGTGCAATAATAAGACTCGCACATACAAATGCATTTATTCGTGAGATCGAAAAAGCGAGAACGGATTGGGCGGGAGATCAATTTGGCTGCACGGGCCTGGATCGGACGGGTCGAAATGGTGCATCAAACATTCGGTCGCTGCCTAAAAGGTTAGTTTTTCCCTTTATCACTTCTTTTTCTTTCTCTCTCACTCGCTCGCTCTCTCTCTCTCTCTCTCTCACTCTTTCCCACCATTTGCGGTCATTCAGCGGACCCAGTTTCCGCGCGTTCTTCAACTTATAGTCATCGATATCGTCCCAGTTCGGCCCGTAATTTGCCTTAAACCGGGAACTAAATTTGCTTAGGCAAAAAGGTGTTACCAGAATCAACTGGTACGGGTCGCAGGGCACATGGAAGATGTGGCCATGTAGCGCGGCCGTGCAGAAATTTTTCACGAACCTGAAAAATCGTGATGCAGGGGGCCCAACGGCAAAATACTGCATCCTTACATGAGGTTTATCTGCAGCCTTACGAAGGCTAGTGGTGCCTCACCATGGATATTCGAGGTCCCACAGCACGGCGTCGTCGCCCTCCCCGGTGATCATCGTCTCAAAGTTGTAGCCGTCATTTCCGTTGTACATGGGGTTGAGAAGGATCTCGAAGGGGCGCGCCGCTGGCTCCATCGAGGTCAGGTGCACCTCGTAGGTGCCGGATCTCCGCTGAAATGAGGATTTTCATACACTTTGACAGCAATGAGAGAGACACAAACGAGAAAGATCCGGGCACTGGTTCATTTGCGGTGGGGGGGGGCGGTGGCGATACTGGGCTGCTGATAGGGTGAAAACTGATTTTCCCCAATAATCTTTTACGTTCCTATGCGGCAATCTAGGCCTAGTTAATAGCATTTTACCCAGGTTTTAGATAGAAAAGACTCATAAAAAACTACAAATTTTTTTGGTCAAAAATGTAAGAAAACTGACCAAACAGCCAAATTTTGGAATTTTCAAAGCTGCTTACAATTTTTTTATGCCTTTTTAGGAATAAGAAAACCACAAAAAAACACTACAAATACACTATGTATTATTAACTGGCCGTCGGCAGGCGGAAAAACAGAACTTGGTTTTTCCCTGACTCACCACCCGCTAACAGGCCAGTACCGCGGCCAATCCGAAAAACCCCACTTTTCCAAACGTGTGCTCAACCCGCAAGCGCCTCGTGGCCAGCTTGGCCTCATCGGCAATTAGGGCATCCGGGAATTCCTCGTCGAAGACGTTCAAATCGAAGCCGCCGGCGGCGGGGAGCAGGGCGCACTGGCGACGCCAGCCTGAAACCGAGACGGAATTATTTTGATGATTTTCGATGAGAAGAAACGCTTACCCAGAAGCGTGCGCTTGGCGAGGAACGGGATGACGGCTTTCTCGAAGCACAGGTCACGGAAGGCGGCCAGCCACTCGAGATCCTTTGGCAGCAGCTTCGGCTCGACGCCTTTCATATCCGGGTGCCCTTCAAGGAGTTGATTTTGAGCCGGTACGCTTTATTCAAACTATGGCTTAACTGTCAAAAACGCAATAAAAATCCATTTTTTTAACCAAGAACTGAGAATGTGGAAAAGCCCGTCTGGACTGTTGGCGGGCGGGGGGGTATCAGGGGGAGGGGGGGGGGGCGGGAGAAACCACTTTCTGTTTTTCCACCTTTTAAAATTTTTTAGTAGATTTTGATTCGTAGAGTTATGAAAATGTTTTTAAACACTTTGAAAATTCGGAGATTTCGTCATTTTTTGTCATTCTGCGAACATCTGTTCAAAAAATCCAAGTTCAAAAATTTTCGAAAATTTTATTTTTATATTGTTTTTATGCGTAAAAATTATATAAAATGCTATAAAAATGGTTTTTTTTGATGAGACCGTAGAAAATCACAGAAAAAAATTTGGGTTCCGCTAACAGTCCAGAATCACCAACCCATCAAACACTCCAACTTCTTCGAGTTGCGCCACAGCCGATTGTGGAACGTCGCGTCGACCGGGTAGAAGACGTCTCCTTCTTTTTTGTAGGCGGAGCTGGAACAGTTGAAGTTAAGGAATATCTCCCAGGCTCGGTGGAAGCTCAAGGAGCAAATTTTGCGTGTTTTTTTTTTTGAAGTCCCAGGGTTGATTGCAGTTTACCCCCCCAGCTGACCCCACCAACCGTATCTCGGCTCCCTGTTCATCTACAGGTGTGTAAATTATGCCAAAATGTTCGTCTTGCTCTGGCGAGTATTTTGGTATACTTTACACACATATAGATAAACAGGGAGCCGAGATACAAAAGTTGGGTGCCGGCTAGGGGGGAACTTCACTCTAACCAAGTCCCACATTGGCATCAAATGGGCGGTCTCGTTGATGAAGACCTCGAAAAAGTCACGGCCCGGCTTCAACCGATAGGAGAGGATCTCGCGGTAGGGGTAGGCTAGAAAACGATATATATTCATGAGGATACGGCAGACTTACATGCTTTATATTTTATCAAATCTTCGGGCTTCGCATTCGCAACGGCAACCACAAAGTGGTGCGGCGCGTTGGCAAAATTTTCGGGTGTGTAGTTGCCTTCTGGAACGGGAAAGAGATAGAACTTTGGTCCTTTAGCATTTGCGGGGGCGGGGGGGAATTTTATTGTCTATTCATCTAGAACTGCCTAGTAATTTCATGTTTTATAATGACAAGATGACTTACAGGGTGTCCCAAAAAAAACGACCCATCCGGCATTTCGCCGTGTTACAGCCAATCGGCCCCAAATTTGGATGAGAGATGTATCAGACCCTAAATAACAACAATCCTGACTTTTAGCCCCGTAGCTACAGTTGTTCTCGAGTTATAACGAAAATACTGTTTTTGACGCAATTCTGAACAGTTTTTTCGGCTATCTTTTTGGGCTTTGCATCGATTTGCATCGACTTCCGGCTGCGAATCCCTAATTTCGCTTAAGATCTGGGGTAATTTGGCGTTGTAAAAATCGCTTAATTCAACGATTATTTGATAAATTCTGGTCCGGAAAAAATTTCTTCGGGTAAAGAAGGCCTACCGAATCATTTTCACTTAATGTCTAGGAGGTCTAACTCCACGGAAACCCTAAGAAAAATGGAAAATAAAGTTTATTTTCGTTATAACTTTAAAACTACTGTAGCTATGGGGCTAAAAGTCAGGATTGTTGTTATTTGGGGTATGATACACCTCTGGTCCAAATTTGGGAGCGATTGGATGTAACACGGCGAAATGCCAGATGGGTCGTTTTTTTTTGGGACACCCTGTATAATAACATTTTGGTCAACACCGCCATATCTGCTTGCTATACCGATATTCTTTGTATTTTGTAATAAAATTTTGTAAACGTTTACGTTTAGGGATAGTAAAAAACAATGTAGAAACACTTCCGATAAACCCCCCCCCCCGATAATGCGAAAGAACCGAAACGTCAAAAAAGGTGAAGTTTTTTTCGAAATTCTTTACTATACCAAGGATAAGGATCGTCCCGTTGAACGGCACTCTGCTGACGACTCCGAAATCGTTATCTATAGTCTCAGCGGGGATTCGCTCCTCGGGATCGGCTACGCTATACACCGCTTCCTCGGTCGCGCTTGCTCGGATTGGCATCCTGCAAAGCTTGAGGGATGATACGTACCTTGAATTCTGTGCGGTACTGGACTGTTAGCGGGGGGGGGGCTTGGCATGGTTTTTCAGTAATTTCGTATGAACTTATAACGAAATGCAAACCATTTTGTTCGAATTTTTTTTTATCCGAAAAATTCCTTCGAAGGAGAAGAAGAATTCCCTCCTTCAAAAGTTCGAAAATAAAATAATTCAATATTTTATACTTTGGCTCAAAATTGTCTGAAAAATGACCCAACCGATCGTAAATTGCAAAATTTAGGCATTTAAAAAATATTTTTTATAACTTTCTGGCAAACGAAAAGACTAACAAAATACAAATTTAACATCTAAAAACACAGCTATTAACAGGTGTGTCGTCGGAAAAGAAAACCTGGTTCCCCTTGCTAAAAATTCCCCGCCCCCCCGCTAACAGTCCAGCACCCGATTTTTAGTGCCCACCGCGGTACTAATTACACGACAGCCGTGATGCCCTTAAATCCAAACCTCCGGTTCTGCTGACCCTGACGGGCCGGCAACTCAACGGCCGGAAGCTGATGAGCACCGTCGACCGCCGGATGCTTCAGGGGGACCTCCTTTGGCTCTTCAACCATCGTCCCACTTCGGTAGAGCATCAACGCCCAGACGGTGACCAGCAGCAATCCGGCGGCGATGTACACATGGCGTCGATAGTTGCGCAAACCCGGGCGGATGTTGGGCGTCGACATCGGCAGCGGGTCGTAGTCCTAGAATTCTTTTTTCGATATCCAGGTTATAGCCTCGTTTACCCCCCCCCCCACCAACATTTGCCTCCAAGTCATCCCATTAATGCGCGTAGTATCTCAAAATGTTCCCCTCTTCAAACACTCCATTTCCATATACTTTTTAACGCAAATAAAGAAAGAAAAAGAAATAAAGCTTAAACAAAGATTGGTTTGCAATGACACTGCGGCCCGGCTCCTAATAAACGTCCGGTAGCTTTGGAAAGGAGGGAAGACCGCAACGCTTGCGATAGACGCGTCGTGCAATTGCGAAAGCAGGATTGCTACTTTAGTCGATTTCGCGAATTTGCGCCTTAGCGCGACTCAGCGCGTATTCCGAAGCAGCGGAAAACCCACATGCCAACCAAAGACACGGGCAAGGAAGCGCATCGTTTTGGCAGAAAAGTGTAAATGACTAAGTTTTCGGAAAGAGGCCGAGCCATATGGCACAAAGATGCAAATTCATGCCAATTGTCACTTTCCTATGCTAATTAACTTATTAGTCTTTTGCCACGTTCGGATAAAATCCCTAGGCAAGATTACTTCCCAACTTTTGTACATTGGCTCTCCCTTTCGGGCGTCATGATGGTTGCTCGTTTTCGAGGCGCGCTGTATCGCTAAAAAGTTTTCGGTGAAACGGAAATTGTCTCGCCGCGGAAGTTATGTAAGAGAAAAGCAGTGGTCCTCAGGACTTCTGCACCTTTAGACCACTCAAAATGCCGCGAGTTGTAAAAATAGATTTCGGGAACAGTTATTTGCAAGAGCCCGCAAAACGAAACACACCAGTTGACGGTCATTCCAAATTAAGGACGCTCCGTTCAGATGAAATTTCTCACCCGAAACTGTACCCGTGAATTTAGGATACAGTAAAAACTGTCTGATTATTAAAATGGTCGAAATCAGGGCAAGCGTTTATCGCATCTGGGTGAAAACCGAAGAATTCGTTGATTTCGTGCTTTCGCTTGACAACAGCTGCGCGGAGGGCGATGATGGTCAAGAAGGCCAACGAAGTGCCGAACACTAAAATACCAGAAATATTTTACAAACAAAAATATTAATCTAAATCACGCATAAAAATATCAAACAAAAATAATAATCCCGGTGGTCCCTGAAAAACGTACCCAAAAGCAGCCATGGGGTAACTTCTCATCCCTCTAACTCTCGAAAGAGTGCGGCGTGAGACATTTCATATACGTCTCGGAGACGTCGCCAGGGATCTAAATTTCTTGGAATTGGAAAACTTGGAAAACGCCGGATTAGATGGAGGCCATCTAATAAATAACGCATTCCAAAACCAACCGTTTTCTTGGAGTTGCGCAGCGTCGAATTCGGATCGTTCAGCTGCGCGCACAGGGCATCCCAGTAAACGTTGAATTTTTCGTCGACGCCGTACCGCTCGCGGTATTTGAAGTAGGACATGTAGGCGGTTTTGTTGGATTGTAGCGAGCTGAAAAAAATAGATAAGAAAATTTATGAAAACGTGCCAAAAATGATTTCGGGGGGAGGCACCCAAAAATTTTGGCGACAGTTTCTTGTAAAATTTATGCAGTCAGTAAGCCTACCGCAAAAACACGGCCATCTCCTCGGAACTCTCGAAGTCGTCGACAAAAATCTGGGACGACGGCGGCATGGATCTAAAAGATATTTTCAGCAACGGGAAAACAAAATTTTGTGTTATTAATAACAGCCAGTGTATTTTTGTAATCTTTTAGTAAATTTTGATTGCGAACAACTTGCAAAAACAATTTCAAACATTTTTGAAAGTTCGGAATTTGTGATCGTTCTTGATCGTTTCGTTATTATTGATGTAATTTTGACCAAATGGGCAAGAAATTTTCCAAATTTTTTATAAACTATCTACATAAAAACTGCACGAAATGCTGTAAAATCAGTTTGTGTTTCATAACAGGGGCGTACAGGACTCCGGTGAAAAATTAGTTAAAGCCGGTCTCCCGCCCCCCTCCCGCTAACGGTCCAGTACCGTTTTTACCATGTGAAAACTCACGGGTTTTTCTCATAAATATCCCGCCGCATCACGATCGGAATCGAATTGAACTCGATGCGATCGTAGGTCTTTTCGGTGATGTAGCCGTAGCAATCGCTGTTCTCGATGGCAGAGTAGAAAAAGTGTCCTAGGAACAGAATTTAAGGTTGTATTCGAGCAGCACCAACCTTCGATGGCCTCTCGGATCTTGTCAATGCACGGCTTTCCGCGTACGCAAAAATCCCTGTCGGCCTGGTTCTCGGCACATCCGCCGCGCATGGCTACCGGGTACGCCATAAAAAAAAGTACGCCATCCTTGTAGGTTTTTCCTTTACGTAAGTACTGTAAGGCTTTACCAATTTTTTTCAGGTGATCCTCTACGGTCCTCTAACGAAATTAAGCATTTTTGTAAGACTCCAGATACCCCCCCCCGCCCAGCCAGCACCCAACTTTTTTATCTCCTTTCCCTGTTCATCTACAAGTGTGTAAAGTATACCAAAATATTCGTCTTGTTCTGGCGAGAATTTTGGCCTGCTTTGCGCACCTGAAAATAAACACGGAGCGGAGATACGGTAGGTGGGCCTCGGCTGGAGGGGGTATCTTGAGTTTAGCTCTATTTTTATAGCATATTACAGAAGTTTTAATCCAAACATAATTTAAAACATACCCAAGGTTTCTGAAAATTTTTGAATTTTGGGTCCTAAATGTAAGAAAAATTACCAAAAAAAAAGTTAAAATATACACGATGTTTATGGTGTTTCACATAGTTTTTGGATATGAAAACAATATAGAAAATAACAAAAATTTTGAAATTCCATAATTTTTGGTCAATGATGTATGAAAAATCACCAAAACGGTGTTGACGATATTTGTATAACTTTCTAGCAAGCAAAAAATACCAAAAACCCTATAAAAATACATTATTGATCATCAGAAGGTAGGTGGAAAAACAAAAAGTGTTCCTCTTCTCTAAAAATCACCCCACCCCCGCTAACAGTCAAGAACCGAAAACAACTTGGCCAGACACGGCACATTTTCTTGTGTTTCCTACTTGTTTAATTCCGTCAACACGTCAGCCCGTCCATTTGGTGTGTTGGCGCAGTTGGAGATGAGGGCGAAAACCCCTTCTTGCTTCTTCTCAAAAAATCCGGGCGGTGGGGGCAGCATTGGGCGCGCATCGGGGCGATCGCTTCTAAAGTTATTTTTTTTGGGCGGATTTGGAGAAATGGTTTTTTCGCATTATTGGGGTGAGCAATTTTTTTCTACGGATCCATTTTTCTAACATAACTACAGGAAATATTTCTAAAAACTTTACGATACCTAAAATTGCAAAAAAGTTTTACAAATGGTTTAAAAAACAACGAAAGTATGTCGATTTGTCCACTTAAAATTTCGCCCAAAAATGTTTTCCTAGGTGATATAGTTTGTTTGTCCTAAAATACGATTAAATTTTGCTTTAAACACGATAAAAACACGTACGAATACGTTTAATCGTTAATTTTGGACTTCTAGGAAAAGCCCGCCCCCCTCCCTCGATAATGCATAAGAACCGTGGATTGGTACCTCAACACGTTGGGCGGGAAACAGCATGGTATATCGCTGTCTGGGGCGGTTGTCATGGTGCGGTTGAAGTAATCCGCTGAAAATGGACAAGGCATTGGTACTGGGCTGTTAGCGGGGGGGGCAACTTTTCCAGTATATATACCCTATATCGAAGTATAGACGAGTTTTAAATGAAAGAAAGATAAGAGTTTACTTTACCCCCCCACAGCCGAAGGGACTCAAAGTTGTCGGTATTTTCGCTTGTTTTGTCGGGATTTTTGCAACGCCATTCGATAGAGCGTCGAAAAATATACTAAGAGTTTTAATTTGAGCCTACAATAATGTAAAATAAAAACGTTATAGCGAAAAACTTCCGGCTGGGGGGGTAAAGTAAACCGTAGCCGAAAGAAATCAATAGGAACGAAAACTGCTCATAAAATATGCGAAGCTCTTTAACTTTTTGTTGCACAGCTATACCCAGAGATCGTCAATCAACCCACTGGGAAACCTGTAGTGCGCCACATTGCTGTGCGGTAAAGATTCCAGGGCCCAGAAGAGGTAGGTGGCATTCTGGAAGTAAAAAAACCATTATTAGCATTGATTCGAATCCAAAATAAGTTAAAACTTGACAAAAAGTCGCTATCAACACAAGGTCAAACCGGGTTCCGCTGGTCGTCCGGCGGCAGATCATCCATATCCCTTGAATGAAAAACGACCACGTCCGCTTCATCGAGACGCTGACGGTCATCCGTGAACTCGCAAAGAGCCTAAGTAATTACACGCAAATGAGACATTTGCCTTATTTTAGCAAAAATTCCTAGGAAAAGCCCCCAACTTTTCAACCATGAATCCTGCTGATGTGTAAAAGATTGCAAGTTCTTCTCCGTGTTCGAAACCCTATGACTGTTTTTCGTCTTCAAAAATTTCTAGAACATTTACAAGATTTTAAGGTACTGGGCTGTTAGTGGGGTGGGGAGGATTTTTAGCAGGATCAAAAGACTCTATTTTAACCTGTTGATGATGATTAATTGATTGCTTCATTTAGTGTATTTTAAAGTGTTTTTTTGTTGATGGATGGCTAGTATCAGAAACTTTTTTATTTTGAAAATTCGACAAGTTCGACTTTTTGGTCATTTTACACACATTTTTCATCAATAAGTGATCAAATCTCGGAAATTTTGATAGGGATTTCTGCGTTTTCATATCTAAAAACTGTGTAAAATACTATAGAAATTATTTAGATTTCGTTATAGGGCCGTACCGGATTACTGTGAAGAATTTGGTTCCCCCCGCTAACAGTCCGGTACCACCAACTCCAGCAAAATTGTCCCACCCGCGGTTCGGTTTTTGGCCGGCCAATCGTATTGGGGTACGGGTAGCTGCCAAAGAACTTGGTCCAGCCAAGAATCACCGGTTGCCGCTTGCTACAATGAAACTGTTAGTGGGAGGTGCAAATGCTTTCAACCTCATCGGCATCTGCACCTTTCGTTCGTGGCCACGCTCGCTATTCGGCGTGCAGAACGAATGGACAATCAGCCCACAGACGTAGACCAGCAACACCACGGCGGCGATGTACACCTGGCGTCGGTAGATGCGAAAACCGGGGCGAATGTTCGGCGTGGCCATTGGCAGCGGGTCGTAGTTCTGGAATTACAAGCGTTTCGAAGTTTGGTTCGAGTCTAGTTTACCCCCCGCCCAGCCAGCATTTGCCCCAAGTCATTTCATTAATGCGCGAAGTATCTCCAAATTTTCCCCCCGTCAAACTCTCCATTTCCATATACATTTGATAACGAAAAAAAAGAAAATAAAAGAAATAAAGCGTAAACAAAGATTGATTTGTATTGCACAACCGCCCATGGGTTCGGTCCAGATGGTTCAAGGGAAAGGGCGTACTGTACGTGTTTTTCGCGCGTTGCGTGCGGGTGCGCGGAATAGCAACCGGTTTTTAACTGCGCAGGCCCGCTTTCGCAATTGCGCGACGCGCCTATCGCACGCGTTGCGGTCTTCCTTCCTTTCCAAAGCTACCGGACGTTTTATTAGGAGCCGGGCGGCTGTGATTGGGGCGACAGCAATCCCTTTCCCCGTCGTAAGCGTCAAAAGGCGCGCTCCGTTGCCCCGTCCCCCGCAACAATATAGTTGCGCCGCGACGATAAATCGCTTCTAAAATTGTTATTTGTTATTTTGCTTCTAAAAAAGTACATGGAAATGGAATATTCGGCAAGGAGGACATTTTGAGATACTTCGCTCATTAATTGGACCACTTGGGGGAAGGGGGGTGAAACTAGACTTTAGCCCGAAGTTTATAACTTTTTCCACGGAAAGCAAAAAAAAATTTAACTCACATGCCAACCGAAGATACGAGCAAGGAAGCGCATCGTTTTGGGATGAAAATGCGAATGACTGAGGCTTTTGACAGGTCGCCGAGCTATGCCGAACCAAAATGCATATTGCTAACAAACTTTGCTATGCTAATTAGCTTACAGGGTTTTTTTTTTTTTTTCTTTTTTTTTTTTTTTCTTATTTTTTTAATTTCTTTTTTTTTTTTTCTTTTTTTTATTTTTTTTTTTTTTTTATTTTTTATATTTTTTATATTTTTTTTCTTTTTTTTTTTTTTTAAAAATTTTTTTTTTATTTTTTTTTTTTTTTAAATTTTTTTTTTTTATTAAATTTTATTTTTTTTATTTAATTTTTTTAAAATTTTTTATTTTTTTTTATAATTTTTTTTTTTTTTTTTTTTTTTTTCTTTTTTTTTTTTTTTTTTTTTTTTTTTTTTTTTTTTATTTTTAAAATTATTATTTTATTTTAAATAATTTATTTTTTAAAAAAAAAAAAAAAAAAAAAAAAAAAAATAATTAATAATTAAAAATAATTATTAAATTTTTTTTATTTTTTTTTTTTTTTTTATTATTAATAAAAAAAAATAAAATTAAAATAAAAAAATATTAAAAATATAAAAAATTATTTTTTTTAAAATATTTAATAAAAAATTTTTTTTAAAAAATTTTTTTTTAAAAAATTTATTTTAAAAAAATTTATTAAAAAAAATTTATTAAAAAAATTTTTTAAAATTTTTTAAAAACCCCTGGGGCCTGAATCCGCTACACCTCCCTTTAAAGGTACACTAGCGTCTCGTTGGTTTGGTTACCGGCCGGTAACCGTCCGCGGGATAGCAAGCAGGGTTATGGTATGCGCTCGTCGCCGAGCAAAACCGAACCCGGGGCGCTCGCCTGGGGCAAGCGCTTTCACCACTAGGCCATGGGAGAGACGGGATAGGGAGAGGGGAGAGGGGCTATGAAGGGTTAGCGCGTGTGTGGCGTGGCGCGTTGGCGCGCGCGTAGCGATGAAAATCTCGAATGACAGAATCTCGAATGGCAAAATATCGAATGATTAGAATCTCGAATGCTCAGAATCTCGAACGATCAGAATCTCGAATTTACAAAATCTCGAATGAACAAAATCTCGATCCAACAGAACGCGCTTTTTTAGATCGAAAGAGTTAAAACTTAGGCTCATAAGGTTGGAAAAACAGATTTATCGACTTGACGCATCTATTCGTGATTAAAATTTATAAAGTTTGTTGCTCAACAGATCTTCCTTACCAATGCATACTCAAAGCTTTGTAGCTTCTATCGAATCTCGTCAAAAATCGATGCTTGAGCAACGATGCTTGGCCCGGACCCTTCGGATTTTTCACTAAAAACCAACATTAATGTCGAAAATCGCGGATTTTGATATATCTGACATGCGTGCAGTCACCTCCTGAGCATTACGCACCTAATGACGTCTCAAACATGCCCCTAACTACTCTCCTGCTTGAGATACTGCTGGAACACGGTGACGGAAGTTCTACAGGGTGGCTGATAAGTATCCGGAAAAAGTATAAGGTCCTGGTGTAAAAAGGAAAGCACGAATGTAATCAAAACCAATTATTTTATAACAAGTAGATGCTTTATATTCGTCGCTGTAACAAATTTTTAAGGTGACATTTATCTGCTTTGATTTATGCTACAAGTTGTGGCTATCCTAAAATGGCTGTGCGCCGCGGGCAGTTGACGGCTATTTTGCTCAAAATCTCGTTAAATTCTTGGTGCAGATTAACCATATTCTTGATGCTCTGGTTCTTTAATTCGTGTTCCATGCATTACCGCACAGAAAACTCCAGTGGATTACGATCTGGGCTTTTGGCAGGGGATATAACCTTCGTCATAAAAGTGTCGATTTTCGGGCGAAAATGACGAATTGTGGTTTTTGGGCCCTAGCCCCCGAGCCCGATACTGTTGAAGGCCAATACACGGATTATTTCGATTACAGAGCATCACATCTTGCTCCAGAATATCATCTTGATAGAGGTTCATCTTCATTTTAGCGTTTTGATCGATGAAAACCTGTCGAAGACGCCAATTCCCCTTCCGACCATATAACTTTCTGGGATAAACCTTTTTGTAGTAATTTTTAACTACCTGGTATTCTTCAGACCCGGACCGAAAAGTTATCGCGGTTTTTGAGTTTTCAGACACCTTAACCCAGAAAATTTTCTCGTCTAAACATTGACTACCCCAGGTGCGGCGCACCTAAGCTTAAAGGGGCTCCGAAATCTGGTCCACGGCCCCCTGCTGTGATTCCTGGCAAATAGCCAGATGCGGCCGCAACGCGCCCGCGCCGCATGATCTTTTGCCTCTGTTTGGAAGCGAAAACGCTTGAATTTAAAAATTCTGATACTATTTTTAGAATCCTCAACGAATTTTGATCATTCCAGACTTTTAATTTATGAAAATTGACCAGAGAATCACCGAGATCGAGAGATCGGGTGCCTTACAAAGCATTACGACATGTAATCGCCGCGCACTCAAAATGTCGTTTTCCCCCCCAAAAAGAATTCGGTTTTTCTCAAACATTTTACTTTTTTTCGCGATCAAATAACTTTTTTGGCACTTCTCGGCGGTGACCCTTTCGTTTTTTGACCCGTAGGTTCAATCCCCGCACGCACGAATTTTGACTTCTGAGCCCCTTTAAGGAAATGACGGCTAAAGTCAGCTTCTTGGCGCTCCGATAATTTACTGTCCTAAATCAACTCAATTTTAGTCATGAAATATCAAAGTATATACAAGAACATCCACAATGGCTAGGAAAACAGAATATAAAACTGGATGGTTTTTTTGTTACGCCATGTCAAAGTTTTTCCGGATACTTATCAGCCACCCTGTATGCAATGTGGTACACACAGACACTATTTTTTATTTATAATAGGATAACAGCTGATTTTGTAACCTAATAACTCGCCCGTCGGACCGCTGGTCCGACGCGCAAAGCACCTTTCGTCTCACGGCGTGAGCCCGAAGACAGGCCTTAAGCCCGAAATCCGGTTCACGGAATTTGCACGCTGGAATCCGCCAACGCCTTCTCTAAATTTCCACAAATTTCTCCTCAACCGCTCAACATTCACGACCACTCGTTCCTGAGCCGAATTTTGATATCTTAAACCTGGAAACTTGATACCTTGAATTTTGGGCTTGATTTTTCTCCAAAGTTCAGCGAAACAAGCCCGACACTCTCTGCCGGTTTGTGCCCCATGAGTCGACCTTTGTGCTTGCCACCACCCCCAAAAAATCAGGGTGCAAAGTATTAGAGCCTGACGGTGATGTTGCCTTATCACAGCCGGCTAATCGGATTTTGTGGAGCCGCGGCTTTCCCGGCTTCTTCCAATTCATTCTCGCCAAAAAAGCACCTGACGAAATGTGGATGTGTTGTGGGTTCCTGGTTCTCGCACTAGCCCAAGGTTTGATCGCCCTATCGGACCACGAAAATTTTTTTAGTAACTTTGGCATTTTGCCCAAAATCGTCGGTCGACGCCTCGGATGGGGCCAGCTGTTATTATGGATTTACGCTCAACCAAACCTACAGTGATGCCGAGGCGTTTTGTGAAAAGTTGAGTATCGTATATTTTCGTAATTTGAGGTTTTAGCCTAGGCGGTTACCTGGCGTCGATTTCGAACGTTTTCGATAACGCCAAAGTTTTGCAACTCGCCAGGACGCAATTCCAGGTAAAAGGGTTCCAAAATATTTTTTTAAGCTTACCCTTTTTAACCAACCCCCCCCCCGGGGGGGGGGGGGGGGGGGGGGGGGGGGGGGGGGGGGGGGGGGGGGAGGGGGGGGGGGGGGGGGGGGGGAGGGGGGGGGGGGGGGGGGAGAGGGGGGAAGGGGAAATAAAAAAAAATTTTCCCCCCCCCCCCCTCCCCCCTATACCCCCCCCCCCTTACCCAAAAAATAAAAAAAAAAAAAAAAAAAAAAAAAAAAAAAAAAAAAAAAAAAATAATAAAAAAAAAAATAAAAAAAAAAAAATTTTTTTTTTAATATTTTTTTTATATTGAAATTTTTATTTAAAAAAAATAATAAAAAAAAAAAAAAAAACCCCCATTTAAATTTTAATTAATTTTTAATAATATTTTTAAAAAAATAAAAAAAAAAAAAAAAAAAAAAAAAAAAAAAAATAAAATATAAATATACAAAACCCCCCCCCCCCCCCCCCCCCCCCCCCCCCCCCCCCCCCCCCTTCCCCCTTTTTCCCCCTTGGGGGGTATCCTGGGGGGTAGGGAAAGTATATTGTAATCCATAGAAACATCAAGCCAAGTTTCAGTAATTTGAGTGAAAGCTATTTCAAAATATTTCTTTCGACAAGGATTTCATTTTAAACGGTTCGGTGTGGTTTATTTTGCAATTTTGCTAAAACGTTTTTTGAGAAGATAAAACCCACAAACAGCGCCGCATTCTTGACCCTAAAGGTATTTTTATCTGGTGTAATCCATTAGCTTTGCAGGCATTAATTTTTAGACGCTCGGCGTCGATGGATTCTGGCTGGGCGGCTCTTACGATGGAAAGGTTATTACGTGGGACGATGGGACCAACGCCACTTATGCTAATCTTGCCTCAGGTTTGTTATCGTGCCATCAATCTCCAGAAAAGACAAATCCAAAATTTTTCTGGACGCCCACGTACACACCATGCAATTCTCTCTACCACACATGCGACGCAGCCGTTGCGCTTTTATCATAACCTAAAACCTAATCACGCATGGCTTCGGGTTCCTTAAACACACATGAAATTCAGCGGGTACTTCCGGAAACCTGGTGATGAGCCTGTCGACGGGAAAGTGGAGCACCGCCGCCTGGAATGACAGGTACCCGATTATGTGCATCGGGAAGAAATCGGTAAGGTGGATCTTTCTCTCACGCTCTTTCTCTCTCTCTCTTTCTCGCTCTATCTCTCGCGCTCCCTGTCGCTTTCTCGCTCTCTCCTTCTCGCTTCCCTGAACAATGCTTTTCGGTTTCAGAATGGCCCGCAACTCCCGCCGTGCGAGACCGAGTGGATGTACGCGACAGTGACGAAGAGCTGCTACAAGGTAGCACGCCACACTTTTTATAGGTATGCTGGGTTTAGCTCGTTTATAATGTTGACTTCGCGAACGCCGAGGAGCAATGTCGAGCCCTGGGCGCTACCATCTCGTCTGTGACTTCTAATGAGGAAAATAATTTGATTGTTGGTGAGTTGAAGGCCTAAAAGCTATTATTTATTCACAAAATTGTCGCTAAAATTTCTTACGCTTACTTATGCGCCTATTAGATTTCGCGAAAACCGGCTACTCTGGCGACCTGATGTTTACCGCTTTGGTCGGAGCTAAGCGAGTGGGTATTCTTTTTTTAGAATTTGAGCTGGGCATACCTCAATTTCTACGAAGTTTTAGACCGGTGCCAACGTCAACGACTTTGCGTGGCTAGACGGAAGCCCTTTCACCTTTTACCCGTGGGCCAACGGTGAGCCAAATAATGCTGGAGGTCGCGAAAGCTGTATCGAGGTACGTTCTATTCGCTTGATACCGACCGCATACAGTGTTGTGTCGTAGCGATTCCTGGCATGCGAGGGCCACACTTTTTCAGATTTACACCGACGAGCTCTCCGGTAAGAACGCACCGAAGAGCCCCTATTTGCATATGTGGAACGACGTGGATTGCGATAGTCACCACCGTGTCGCCGTCTGCAAGAAGGCATCGCTTTATTGACGATTTGGAGTGGAATAAATCCGATAGCTTTTGCAGTGGTCACATTGAAAAATGTTGCATTACAAAAAACCAGAAAAAATACCTTGTAATTCGGATGGAAATGAAAGCCCGAAAAAACGATAGGAAGAAAGGGAAAGAAAAGAAAGAAGAAAGGCTTTATTTTACCCCCCCCCCCCTCCCCCCTGCCGCAGGTTCCCAAATATTTCTTGCTACTTGCTTATTTTTTGTACATTAATCTGAGCTGCGATTCAAATTCTTAGTATATTTGTTGATGATCTATCAAATGGCTATCTAAATCCCGACGAAATCACGACCAAAAAATTTTTGGAGAGCCATCCGCAACCACCCTCCCGTCAAGTCTGGCAATTTTCTAAGATGAAAAATAGCGTAGAAGCATTCCCTTTTCCATTTCAAGCCGCACTTGGCGTTCAAAAAAAATGGCAGCGCTGTTTAATACAAAACACCTGGGACGACGCTTTTTTGGTTTTCGACGGGCGCCACAAAAACATGAAAGAAACCCGCTGGAAATATTGACGATCGTCGCTATGAATAAATTTTCGCCAAATGCGTCTTTCCGACCTTCAACCCTCGCTTTTTGATTCATGCAAAAAATCGAAGATCAAGGGAGGGCATCGGCTCGATTTTACCTGAACCATTTCTGAAAACAACCGGCTGCCATGCGGCGCTCGGTCGTCTTATTCCTTGCGGTTTTTCTGGGTACATGGAATTTTTTGACGTAAACAAAGCGTTTAGGAAGTGCCATCGCCAATGAAGCGGGCGGCCGTGTGGTAAAATGCCTTGTCCAAAAATTGCAAAATGATTTAGACGATGACCGTAACCTTTTCGCAGCCAACCCTGGGCCCAAGTGCCAAAAATGTATTTTGGCTTAACAGAAAGTATTCACAAAAGTTTTGACTCGTTTAACAGTTCCTTAAGGACTACATCCAATCATTCACAAGCGAAATTTAATACAAACAAAAAAACGTCAATTTTAATATTTTTGATTTTAGCCTGCCGCCGGTCCTGCTCCAGATGCTCCAGTCAGTTCCGCAGGCAAACCTGGTAATGTGGCAAGTGGCCCTGCGGGAGGAGCTGCTGAAGGAGAAGATGGAGGAGCTGAGGGAGCAACTGAAGGAGCTAGTATACCTGCTGAAGGCGCTGGTGAGACGGCTGCTGGCAGGCCTGGAGGACCCGCAGATGACCCTACAGGAGGGGACGGCGCAGGAGGTGAAGGCGGAGTTGAGGAAGGAGCTGAAGGCCAACAAGAACCTGCTGAAGGCGCTGGTAAAAAACCGGCTGGCAAACCTGGAAATCCGGCAGGCGGGGAGGCTGAAGAAGGCGAAGAAGAGGCGGACGCAGGAGTGGAAGAGGTAAAAGAACCCGCCGAGGGTCCTAAGGGCAAACCTGCCAAGCCTGAAGTTGGAACACAAACAGAAGCAGGACAAGAAGAAGCTGAGACAGGTACCGATGGGGAAGAGGAAGGAAACCCCGCCGAAGGTCCTGAGGGAAAACCCGCTGGGAAACCAGCAGATGGAGCTGAGAAAGAGGGACCCGCCGAGGGTGATGGTGAGACACCTGCAGGAAGGCCAGCTGCAAAACCTGGAAAGCCTGCAGGGGGAACAGAAGAAGAACAGCAAGGCGCTGAGGCCGGTACCGAAGGAGAAGCTGAAGGCGAAGCTGAAGAAGGCGCGGCAGAGGAAGGAGAAACCGCCGAAGGATCCAAGGGAAAACCTGCCGGTAAACCAACTGGAAAAGGCAAGCCTGACGGAAAACCAGCGGATGGAACAGAAGGAGATGGAGAAGGAGAAGGCCAAGAAGCTGAGAAAGGGTCCGCGGGAGGAACAGAAGAAGGAACCGAAGGCCAAGCAGAACCGACAGAGGGTGATGGTGAGACACCTGCTGGAAAGCCTGCCAGCAAACCCGTAGATCCCTCCGATGGAGGAACAGAAGGAGAAACAGAAGAAGGCGCAGAAGAGGAAGGAAATTCCAATGGAAAACCTGCGGATGGACCAGAAGCAGAAGAAGCAGGAGCTGAGGAAGAAACCGAAGTAGAAGCCGAGGAAGGGGCGGAAGAAGGAGAAGTCCCGGCCGAAGACCCTAAGGGAAAACCTACTGCGAAGCCAGCTGGAAAACCATCCGATGGAACTGAAACGGCAGAAGCTGAGGAAGGAAGCGAAGGTCAAGAAGAGCCCGCGGAGGGCGATGGTCAGACACCTTCCGGAAAACCAGCTGGCAAACCTTCCGGAAAACCTGCGGAAGGAACAGAAAAAGGACAAGTAGAGGGAGAAGGAACGGAGGAAGGGGCTGAAGGAGAAACGGTAGATGCGACTGCCGGTCAAGAAGAACCCGCAGAGGGCGCGGAAGGCGAACCGGCCGAAGGTTCCAACGGAAAACCGGCTGAAAAACCAATTGGAAAAGGCAAACCGGCTGGCAAGCCGGGAGCTGGAACAGAAGGACAAAAAGAAGGAGAAGAAGGAGAAGGCGAAGGGGCTGATGAAGGAACTGATGGAGAAACAGAAGAAGGAACTGAAGGTCAAGAAGAACCTGCAGAGGGTGATGGTGATACACCTTCCGCGGAACCAGCTGGAAAACCTGCAAAGCCTGCCGGAAAACCTGCGGATGGAACAGAGGCAGGACACGGTGAAGGAGATGGAGCCGAGGAAGGGACTGAAGGAGAAACGGGAGCAGGAGCTGAGGGTCAAGCAGAAGCTGAAGGAGGCGCGGAAGGCGAACCCGCCGAAGGTTCCAAAGGAAAACCTGCCGGAAAGCCAACCGGAAAGGGGAAACCGGACGGCCAACCTGAAGCTGGAGCGGGAGGAGACGAAGAAAAAGAAGAAGGGCAAGTAGAAAGCGAAGGGGCTGATGAAGGAGAAGAAGGAACGGAAGGTCAAGAAGAGCCCGCAGAGGGTGATGGTGATACACCTTCCAACGAACCAGCTGGAAAACCTGCAAAGCCTGCTGGCAAACCTGCCGGAAAACCTGGCAATGGAACAGAAGGAGAAGAAAAACAAGAAGCAGGTGAAGAACCTGAGGAAGGAGAAACAGCAGAAGGAACTGAGGGTCAAGACGAACCCGCAGAGACGCCTGCCGAGAAACCAGCTGGAAAACCTGCGCAGCCTGGAAGACCCGCAGGAAAACCGACAGATACCGCTGGAAATGGTCAGGGATCAACTGGAGTGCAAGGCACATCGAACAACGGGCAAACGGGGCAGGTCCCTGCAACTAGCGGCCAAGATGGAAACTCACCAGTGATGCCGAACGTGCAGGTGCCCGTAAGTTACAAATACTAATTGCTACAATTGTTTAAGAGATGCCATCGCCTGTCTCTTCGAAATTGGTTTACCGATAAATTTAGGGTCAGCCTGGCCAGAATGTCCCAGCCACGAATCCGAACACAAATTCGGGTGGTGATGGGAGTCAAGGCCAGGGTAGCGACAACACGCAGACGGTAGCTTCTCTCATCTTCTGTAATTGCTGCCTAGGAACCGGAAGATCAAGGTGACCCTGGAATCCCAGGCAAGGTTAATCCATGCGGTAGCGGCTGGATGGCGTCTGATGATCAGCAGAAATGTTTTAAGGTAGGTGGCTGAACGGCACCCTACCGGCCTTTCTTCTTCTTGTACCTATCTTCTGGTATCTCGAATCCCCTTTGGCCTACAGAAGCGCAAAATATACCAAAATTATGCTCAGGACAACGATCGTCAACACAAAACGCACATTTTGCTGGACTTTACAGCTATGTTAACGGGGTGCCTAGGTACGGTCGTACGCAGGGCTGTGTTTTGCGTAAATGGAGCTTCTCTGACGAAGTACTAACATTTCTGGAAAACATTTCTAGATCATCACCCCGCTGCCATTCTGGGATGCTGAGAAAAAGTGCCAAAGCCTCGGCGGTCACCTGGCCACGGCCGCCACGGACAATGAAAATGAGTTCTTAAAAGGTGGGCCAAACAGGAAGACCTTAAAGGGACTAGAAGGTCTGGTCGCTGCAGCGCTGTTCCCTGGCAAATAGCCAGATACAGCCGCAAAGCGACAGCGCCGCCTGCTCTTTTGTCTTGGTTTCGACGTGAAAACACCAGAAGTTGAAAGTTCTGGGGAAATTTCCGGAGTTGTCAAACGATTCCGATTGTTCTAGCTATTTTAACTTTTAAAATTGATCCCCGAAAAACCGAGATTGAGGAACCAAGCGGCTTTCCGTGCGTTACGATTAGGGTTGTTTCTCGGAACAGACCGAGATTCGGAACTTTCGGAACAAAGACTGGTCGGAACGGGCCGAGTTTCGGGTGTTCCGGCTGTTCCGAGATTCGGAACATTCCGAGATTCAAATAATGCGGTTGTTCCGAGATTCATATTGTTCCGACTGTTCCAAGATTCGGGACGTCCCGAGATTTGGCTGTTCCCACTGTTCCGAGATTCGGAACAGTCTGAGATTGTGGTGTCCCGAGATTCAAATTTTCTCGTATGTAAATTTCGATTTCATGTAAATCGTGTAGATTGCATGTAAATGTTTCGATTTGGCGGTCCCACGGCAGTGTGGGCGCAACTGAACACCTAATTCCGTCGATGGTTAGATATCGAATCCAGAAATAAGGGAAATGAGAACGAATTGGGGTCGAATCGAATCGAAATTCAGTCGTGTTTGGAAATTTACATGCGAAAAAATTTGAATCTCGGAACAGCTCAATATCGGACTGTTCCGAATCTCGGAACAGTCGGAACAGCCAAATCTCGGAACGTCCCGAATCTCGGAACAGTCGGAACAATATGAATCTCGGAACAACCGTAACATTTGAATCTCGGAATGTTCCGAATCTCGGAACAGCCGGAACACCCGAAACCCGGACTGTTCCGACATTCGGAACAGTCGGGACGGTTGCTGTTCCGAATGTTCCGAATCTCGGCCTGTTCCGATAAACAACCCTAGTTACGATATATTCACGCGCGCCCAGATGGTCTATTTTGCCCCAAAAACTTCCTGTTTTTCTCGAATATTCCGTCATTTTCGCAACGTCATCAATTTTCGCTATGTTTAAGCAATAGTCCTTTCGGTATCGGTCTCGATACGTTCGATCACCGAACCTGCAAACTTTGCCTTCTTCGCACCATTAAGGCGCACGTTTAGCTACGCACCGCATGCGCTTAGTTGCGCATAGAACGCAGGGAAAACTCCAAACGCAGACGTAAATATGTGCCCACGTATAACCGGCCCTTGCAGAACTCCTCCAGGAGCGAAAGGCCACCCGGAATCGCGACGTCTGGATTGGGGGCATGGAGGTGGGAGAGTCTCCAAACTAACCCGACAAATCTTTGTCAGGAAACCAACGAGAACCAGGAGCGCATCTACCGGTGGCGCGACGGCACGGGGGTCAAGTATGCAAATTGGAAAAAAGGGCAGCCGTCCGGCACCGATCGTTATTGCATGGTTATTAGCGTGAGTTTTCTAAAATTTGGGTAGGTAGGGAAACTGGCAATGATTGCTTGGGAAGTTTTCCAGGGCAGCCTAGCAGAGCTTCTTTCGGAAAAACCTAAATTGTTAAGTATCAAAGGGTACATTACTATTTTTAGCGCAACGGCGAATGGATCAACCGCAGATGCTCTCAAAATTATCAAGGGGTTTGCCAACGGGCCGTTGGTGCTCAGGTAAAGGTCTCTCTCTCTCTCTCGCTCTCTCACTCTCTCTCTCTCTCTCGCTCTCTCTCTCGCTCTCTCTCGCTCTCTCTCGCACTCTCTCTCGTTCTCGCTCTCTCATGCTCTCTCGCTCACCATCTCTCGCTCTCTCTCTCTCTCTCTTGCTCTCTCTCCCTCTCTTTCTCTTTCTCCCTCTCTGTCTCTCTCTCTCGCTCTCTCTCCCTTTCTCTCTATTCTTTGAAATTTCAGGAAGTTATGCTAAAGCCAACATCATGTGATCGAGGCTGGAAAGGATGTGCAACTACCGAATTCTGCTACAAGGTGCCAGCTTACCTTTATACTTTTCATTAACCCTAGGTCGAAACACAAGCACTCGATTTTTCTGAGGCGCAGACGAAGTGCAAGAACGCCGGAGGAGACCTTGTCTCCATCAGCTCATTCCAGGAGAACGAATGTGTCGTCGGTAAGCCTAAGTCTGAAGTTTGGGCCCAGTTTTACAGAGTTTGGGCTCGCGGCAAAAGTGAAGCAGGCTTGGCTCGGACTACAGTTGGTAAAAACCTCTAAAAATGCCCAATTTTCTTGGCAGGCCCGAAATTTGACGTATGAATGGACTGACGGCAGCGAGGGCAAGTTCTTCTACTGGGTGGTGAACGAGCCGAAGGGGGACGAGTGTGCGCAGGTGCGTAGCGGAACCCCTTGTTTACCTATTTTTGTGTGCTTGGAGCTTGTAGTTATTTTTCGGGCGGCAAACTATCTTATAAACTTATAGCATTTGAAATTTCGGTCGCCAATCGGCCAATTTTGATCGAAAACTCTATATTATTCATTATCAAAAATTTGTCGTAATGCGTTTAGGAATAGTAGGGAAAATAGTTTGGCAACACTTCTTCTATTTTATTGGGAAAATGGGCCCTAATGAAAAATTCTCCCACCCCCTTCCCCCCTCCCGATAATGCGACAGCACCGGAAACTCTAAGTTTGTTTTTCGATACCTTTAGTGGGTTAAATAGCTTATTTAAGGTAATTTTTCCGGCTACAGTAACCTTGACGCATTCCAGATCATCACGGAAGGCATCAGACGGTGGCACCATCGCTGGGACGACATCGCGTGTACGCAAAAAAGAGCATCAATTTGCAAGAAAACTGCTTCCATTCACGCATGATCATTTCTGAAATTCATAAAAGTACGCTTTGTAAAAAAACTGATTTGGACAGAGCCTACACGATGACATAGGCAATTTGAGAGACGATACTGCAATAATGCTCTTTATCGCCCGAAATCTATAACACACGGTTTGGCAAATAAACACCCAAAAATGCCCAGTAAGGCGGAGCTACCCGTAGAAAATGAGCAGACATATATCACGGAAAGACACTGATGAAGCAAGATACAAAAGAGCGAAACATCATATATATCACAACTGCTAGAAAAAAAACAGCAGAAAGAAAGAAAAAAACCTAATACACAATCTTCACAGTTTTCACCCGATGAGGCTCTAGCGCAACGAGCTCGCGAGGCGTTTCGTCCACGTAGAGCATCGTCAGCGAGGCCTCGTGCACCGACTTGACGCTCCCCACGAAAAGATCACGAACATTGACCTAAAATGACATTTTTGGCACTGGATTGTTATCGGGGGGGTTTAGCGAGGGAGGGAGCCAGATTTTTTCTCATTAATCATCCACCGCCCAATGACGAAATAGCGTTTCCCATTTTGAGAACCATTTTTCCGGCATTTCTCAGAATGTTTAAATATAAAAAGCCCATCCGAAAAATTCGTCAAGATTAGGTTTAACCGAAAGTCCTTATAACCGACCGATTTTCCGAAATTTGTTAGGAAAGGTCTTCAGATTTCGTGCCACGGGACAAGTATAGCACTTCATAGCGCCAACGCTAACATATTTTATTTCTTAACGGTTTTCTGGCACGAAAATACAAAAGAAGGAAAAATATTATAAGAAGATTTCATCAAAATCGGCATACCTGCGTCAGATTAGTGCATTCCTGATCCAAAATGCTGCGCGAGCCACGGCATTCAGGCAACCAGCGTCGTAAGACAAGCGCCGCCTCGTTCTTTGGCTTCACGGCACGGTTATTCTGAAAAACTGAGGGGTAGGCGACGAACGCAGTAGAACAACTTATATGAGTTGAACCATAAATCAAAGTTAGGGGTCTAAAGTCTAACATTCAACTGCTCCGCGAATTGACAGTACAGCTGCCCCAAAAAAAATCTATATTTTTCGACCAAAACATCGAGTTTTTGAGTTTTTGCACTTGGAACTAAATTTTACCAAAGAACTACTAACCGTTAGAATCCTGGCTATCACTTTAACAAGCATTTGACTTCAAAAAAAATCAGGTCCCCGCTGCCAAAAAAAACTTAAACTGAACCAATTAAACCTATTTAAATTTTGATACGAACGTTGTAATCGGTCGGGCCAGTCATCGTGCGTAGTGTCACCAGATGAACGTCACAGGGGAGAGAAGATGTTAGTCCACGCACGTTCCTGTGGGTTGGGATACCTAAAAAGTGAGAAATTTTCAAAATTTTTACACCTTATCTTGACATTTCCAAAACTTCGCCGGATAGAGCGTCGAAAACTATCCGGTCCGAGTTAATTTTCGCCCCACAAAACTTATTCAACGGTTTTTAACAACTCAATGTAATAAAGGATAATTCCATGTAATAAAACATATTTTTTGGCACATCTTTGAAATTGGATTTTGGATAGTCTAAATAGGTATTTTTGACGCTCTATCAAACGTTTTCATAAGTCACGACAGAAGCATAAAAATAGCGCGAAAATCATGGCCAAAAATCCAAATCAAGAAAATAAAAATCAAGATCAAGAACCAAAACCAACCTTTGCCCATGATTTTCACCCAGGGATACAGTAGACTCAACGAGGCGTGGTGTGCAATGGACGTTAGATGGCCCATCGGGGAATCCGCAATCTTTTGGCTGGTCGTCTCCAGCGGCTCGAGGAGGAGGCGGAAGTGCGAGACGGTCGGACGGTTGTCGGCAAGAGCCTAAAACGAATCTACATCACCGCAAATACAATTCGTCCTAAGCATTCTAACCAAATGAATAATGACTTTCAAGGTTTTGAGCTATGCTCTATCTGAATACAACCCCGGTTTTATGAAAAACTTGGGTTCTGTTCTATTTCGAGGGGGGGGACTGTGCCGGGGGGGGGGAATAGGCTTCGCGGAGACTTCCATCTTTTCGCCATTTTCTCAGGGTATTTGCAACGCCATTCGATAGAACATACAATATCCTAAGAATTTTTGTTTTAGCTAAAAATATCCTACCTTATATAATTTGGTCGCGTATCTTTGTCTGTGTGTGTGTGCGGAGGTCAGTTTCGAGGCCCGATTTGAGGGCCTTCCCGTGTCCAAAATGCCCTAATTCTCCGTCTCCCGGGGGAATCGACCCTCCTCTTTCCGATGGCGCTTTCAGAATCCCGTTAAAATACAAGTTTACAAAGTTAAAGCCGGATGTATTCATTTTTGGGGGTCTGGGCGGGCTAATCTGCATAATGTGAAAAAATACAAATTTCCTCATTCTTGCCAGTTGCACTCGCGAGTTTGGTCGTCTCTTTGGAGCTGCCTCTTGATGCCTTTCCTTCCCCTGCCCCGGGCAGTCCTCTTGAGGCATAAAATGGGTGTTGACGCGTGCTGCCAAGCATTGCATGGTGTAGTGGTTAGCGCTTCGCCTTGCTAATCTAACCATCGGAGGTTCGATCCTCGGATATCTTAGTTGTTTTGCTTTTTGCTCGGAAAGTGCGTTTCGGAGTGGATTTCCGTGTAGGGACGTTATTATGAAGTTAGTCACTCAAGCCGCAGCCTATAGAATGAAGCTACCCGCCCAAGCTAGCGCGGCAGGCTTTAGAACGAAGCTAGCCGCTCAAGCTAGCGCCGCAGGCTTTAGAACGAAGCTAGCCGCTCAAGTTAGCGCCGCAGGCTTTAGAACGAAGTCAGCCGCTCGAGCTGGCGCCGCAGGCTTTAGAACGAAGTCAGCCGCTTAAGCTGGCGCCACAGGCTTTAGAACGAAGCTAGCCGCTCGCTAGCGCCGCAGGCTTTAGAACGAGTCAGCCGCTTGCTAGCGCCACAGGCTTTGAACGAAGCTAGCCGCTCGCTAGCGCCGCAGGCTTTGGAAAGAAGCTAGGCGCTCAAGTTAGCGCCGCAGGCTTTAGAACTAAGTCAGCCGCTCAAGCTGGCGCCACAGGCTTTAGAACGAAGCTAGCCGCTCAAGCTAGCGCCGCAGGCTTTAGAACGAAGTCAGCCGCTTAAGCTGGCGCCACAGGCTTTAGAACGAAGCTAGCCGCTCAAGCTAGCGCCGCAGGCTTTGGAACGAAGCTAGGCGCTCAAGTTAGCGCCGCAGGCTTTAGAACGAAGTCAGCCGCTCAAGCTGGCGCCGCAGGCTTTAGAACAAAGCTAGCCGCTCAAGCTAGCGCCGCAGGCTAAAGACGGAGATAATCGCTTAAACTTGCGTCGCAGGCTTTATCTCGAAGCAAACCGCTCAAGCTGGCGCCGCTGGCCTAATAATGACACTAGCGATTTAAGCTTGCGCCGCATGTCAATACAAAGATGTTTGCATGGGAGATGCGTTTCTTCAGGGTAACTTTATGTGGAATGGCGCTCGATTCATGGGCCTAGACGGGGTCCAGCACCTTCTCCTTCTCCACTCTTTCGAAATCGGGGCGCCTGGCCGCTACGCGCGCCTCGGGCGCCCCGATTTCGAAACCCTGTAAGAGCTCGCACCCATCCGAAGCGACTAGGCCCCGGGTGGCACGAAGCCTTATTTTTAGGTCAAGTCTAGGGGACAAGCGATCAAACCCCGTTCAGAAAACTAGCCCTCCGGGCGATTAAAAGCCTCAGTTTTGGGTAATTAACTACAGCTTTGGGCCGCAATTGTCGGACCGCAAATGTCGGGCGCAAGTGTCGGGCCGCAAATGTCGGGCGGAAGTGTCGGGCCGCAACTGTCGCGTCCGCAAATGTCGGGCCGCAAAGTGTCGGGCCGCAAATGGTCGGGCCGCAAATGTCGTGGCACCGTTTTCACATGGGATCGTGGAGTCGAAAGCTAGTTTTCGACATTTTCGATATCTTTCAAAAATTCCTTTAATGCCATTCGATAGAACGTCAAAAAAATATACTAAGAGTTTTAATTACAACTCAAACATATGAAATGCTATAACAAAACGAAGAACATTCCCCCCCCCCGCGCGAAATAGAACAGTAAAAAACTTGTTCTAGGTCGACAAACTGTCCTAAAATCGGGAGAACCTATCATTATGACGCGGACTGTATAAAGGGACAGCGGGAGCGTTTTTTATTATTTTTCATCGCAGTTCGGGCGTATTATGCACAGTGATGAATATCATAGGATCAACCCTGGTTTATGATAGAAAAATGGTTCCTAAAAAGCAAAGTTTGAACCTGCAAGAGCCCGCGGTTGTCATCTTGTTGCGTCCGGCGATCCAACATCACCTCGACATGGCCTGAAAGGTATATTAAAAATCTTTGCTATTGCCAACCAGTCCTGAGGCTCGCAACTCCCAATGCCTGCGCTCCGAGCAGCGTCAAGCGTTGGCCTTTATCCTAAAAAACAGGTTTTCTAAATAAAGTCGCGTCTCGCCTCAATATAGGCGCTTCCGGGCATCGGATAGAAGTGCGCTTGAAGGGGCAGCTTTTCGAGCATTCGTCGGCGACGAATCATCTGCAGGCCGTTCAAATCGGTGAACAGGTCGGCGCCGCTGTCGATATTCGTCTCAAAACGAAGCGCCACCTACAAAAGAAGAACTACCTTTAAAAAGTACCGCGTTACCTCGATATTATCGGGACGGTTGCTGAGATCGATGGTGTTGCAAATGCCGATTGAGTAGGATCCCTGAAAACGTAAAAAAGATGCCGGACGACTGAAAAATGCCCCAAAAAAGCGCTCTAGTGCGTTACAACTAGGTGTTTCCGAATCGGGTGACCGTTGAACGCTCTCAAGAAGGCGAGCTAAACGCAGTAGCGGCCTTGTGCAGCATCCTAATTACCAAATTTTGCAGCACATCATTTTCAAGTATCGGCATTAAGCGTACGTTGTTTTTCTCACACCAGGAATTCGAGGAACCGGTGGTTTCACCTCGATTTTTTTTAATTCGTCGAAATTTTACGGGTTTTTTAACAGTCTTTCACAAAAAGGGTGCTTTACGGAGCGCTGTTACTTCAAGACGGCGGGCGGCTAGAAAATGCGTAAAATAACCGGAAATTTTGGGTATCGCTGGAAGCTTTTGATTTCTTGATTCTAGGGTTGGAGGCCGACAATTCAGCAAGGAGCTATGCCGTTTTTTGGTCCACAAATGAAATAAAATTAAATTAACTAGGGCAGCCAACATTAAATTAAAGTACCTTTTCAAGCGAATAGCTTTGGACCAATTTCCCGTCGTTCGGGCCCATCGCAAGCATACGCTTCACCAACGGCCCTTCCGCTACAACAAATGCTGGCTGTGAAACCTAAAATAGAGAGGTTTATTTTCGTATTAAGAGCTACATAACCTCCATCGGTTTTGCTGTCCCATTCGGCAAGAAGATATACGCACCGGAGAGGTTGTCGCCACCACGATTTTTTACTTCAAAATAGATTATAAAAACTTTTCCCAACGTGAAACCCACGCGATCCACTAGGGCGGGCCCCGTACTTTACAAAGTGCGCGTTGACATCAACTTTTTCACCGGATTCCAGACGAATTTCCTGGAAAACGTGTGGCACTTAGTAATCATCAAAAATGGAGCTGGTTCGTTTGCGGGGGGCATTGTAGGCGTGAAACTAAGTTTTTCCGCCGGCTGCCTTTGTTTCTCTCTGAAGATCATTGAGGATGATGGATGTTTTTCGGACCCTGAATATTATGGTGAAGTGAAAAAAAAAAATTTATATAAATTAAATTTTTTTTTAATTTTTAAATAAAATTATAAAATTAATTAAAAAAAAACCCCCCTCCCCCACTAAGGTATCAGTGCCAAAAAAAATTACCTTCAAAAACCCGGTGTTGCCACTGAAGACAGCCGTCAGTAAGGAGTTAGATAGCTCGACGCTTCCGCTGATTTGCTCGAATTCGAAGAAATCGTCAAGACTAGAAAGAGTGGCTAGGATTCCGATCAAATATTTACCCTTCCGGTTTTGCTCGGCCTTTGACGAGCACCAGCTCAGCGGTCGACGGCTCGTCCATCGAATGTAGCTCAAAAACTTCGGATGCAAGGGCTGAGACCTCTGCCCAGAAGCACAGCTAAAAAGGAAGATAAAAATATTTAATCAGATTCTGGCTCGCTGGCGGGGGAGGGGGTTCTTGTAGAATAATGCAAATTAATTTTTTTTCCTCTCCCCAAAGAGAAATCCTTTTCGATAAGCAGAAATGCATAGTGACGTAAGCGCTTTTTTTTCCATAGGATCCAATTCAAAAACGAAATATCGGAAGTTCTAAACTGGTTTTACTAATCCTAAACGTAAAAACCTTACAAATTTTTAGTAAAAAATTATCGGTTTTCCAACAAAACTGCCCCCGCCAAAATTTCGAATCCCGAAAATTTTTTGGCATTTTTTAGTTAGCTGTTTTGGTTCCACTGAAAACATTATTAAAATACTTCCTATTAAGTCAAGGTCCTTCTAAACATACAAAAAAGCGCTCTCCCCCGCGATAATGCCAAAGAACGTAAAAAAAGTGAAACTTTGTTCAAAAATGGCTCAATTATCGGCCAAAGAACCCAATTTTTTGTTAATAACGATTTGTACGATCCACAACTGAATAAAAGTACGTATGTAAATCGCAAAATTTGACTATATTTTAAGCCGAAATCTTTCTCAAAAACCCAGAAGGTCGAAGAATCTGTGTTTTTTTGTCAATGAAAATTCTCGGTTCCGCTAATGAATCCAAAACCGTAAGCCTCGCCTCAAATCGTCCGGGTTGGCTGTGAACGCGACCGCCTCGGTGGACGAGAACTGGGGCAAGCTGTTGTTCGGGTGGGGTGCCGTCGGAACGCTAAAGTTAAATTAGAGCCTTAAATCCAGAAGGAAATCCTTGGGCATACCTTGATTCGTATGTTAGGAGAAGCCACCTGGATACAGGCAACTTCAGCCCGCGCATGCGCCAAAGTGTTGAAAAGTAGGAGCGAGCTAAAAGAGATTTTACTAATGAAATTTTTCCTTAGACCCAATTTGCTCACCGACAGGCAGGTTTTTCAAAATATTTTGACTATTAAAAACCGGGCTATTAAAAATTATCAAAATCAAACAATTGTTCGACAAAAAATGGCTAATTTTCGCCGAAAATTTCAGATTTTGTAGTTACATATTAGTAATAGAATTATTAAAATACTGGTTATTATATTATCAGGAATCTCTCGGTCAATAGCAAAAATATCCGTAAAAATACGCCCATAAAAGAAACGCAAAAACCGAAAGGGGGAACCAAATTTTTTAGCTGGCGGTCCCGGTTGACCTAGTAATCAAACATAAAGCGCTTTACATTTTAGGTAGGTTTTAGCAATATTCAAATTAAATTAAAAAAATTAGAAAGAAGTTTGAAACAGCCGAAAATGTCGTCGCTTTGGGTCGAACAAATGAATTTTTGCGACCTAAAATTAATTTTTAATGAAAATTCGTACGCTTAAAAATTTGTGCTGTATGCTTAGGAGTCGTTAAAAACAATCGAGAAACGCATCCGCTATTGATAAAAAATTTAGGCTGGCATCGAAAGATTGTCTCCCCCCGCGAATCCTAAAGTACCAAACTTTGTCTTCCTCTCCACGAGAATGCGAAAAAAAACACCCCCAATAAATTACCTATCAGCCTCAAAGACACGCGCTTCCGGCATCGCGTCTTGCTTGGCCCGAAATTCGTCAAACGACATCGATATACGAGACTAAGTTCCGATACTTTACTATCAACTTCCGGCTACCTTGTTGCCCAGCAAAGAACCAATGGCAATCGTCGTGACCTCCTCGGCACGTTTCAGCGCGGAGAGCATCCTGGAAAATCTTGTAATACGTTATACAAACCGTACTTTTCTCCGTAATCATTCACCACCGCCGCTTTGGCCGTGCCAGTAACGCCGTCATGATGTTGGAAAAGCGAGAGGGCTCGGCGGACCTGCAAAAACGGGCTTCTGATTCTAGGCAAATTTCGCATTATCGGGGGGGGGGTCTGTCGGAGACCGGCCTAATTCTTTTTCCTGGGTTTTGATCCATCCCTAGCAATTCAAATCACGTATTTCAATAGGCTTTATAACAGGCCGACATTTCAAGTGGAAAACTATACCAAAAAAACCCCCCGGAAAACTTCATAATTTATATTTTAGTCGAACAGCGGTCAAATAGATTTCAAAACAGAAAAACCTCTATTTTTGTATTTTTAATAACATTCTTTTTAATGCTTTTGAGCTTGGGGATAGTAAAAAAACAGTCTAGAAAACCTAACACCCAATTTAGAAACGTTAGATTGGAGGAGGAAAAGTGGTTCCGCCCGCTAATGCGAAAACGCGGCTACGTGGACCGATCGTACCTCAACCAATTTTGACAAAACGCCATCGTCCAGATCGCCGCCGCCGTCTATGCGCGCCAGGGAGTAGGAAATTTCGGCAGTTCTAAAAAAGTACAGCCTAGGGCGCTGGAAAAGACCTCAGGTAGTGTTGTAGGACGCGATCCATGTGCTTGTAAAAGGGCCTTGACGTGAAGTAGCCTAAATAATCTACGTTTTCAGTGCGCATTCCGTGCAAAAACCGGACAATCCCACGCTAGTGGAAATATTTGACTGGTCATATATGTAAAGTATAGTGTCTTTGTATATTTGCTTGCAACTTCCGTGAGTATGTACCGCACCCACCGCCCCAGGTGAAGATTTTTCCGGTATCATTAAATGACGTAATGGTGCCGAGATGAATGCGCACATATCAGATTTAGAAAAATCGGATGTTTTCGCTATTAAAATTAAGTTTTTGTAAAGATATCGAAAAATCTCTTTGTTAAGAGGCAATTTTCATGCGCCGGAGTTTCTGCGCTTTTTACGCATCAAAACTTGATATTTTTACTATCCGTTCGTTTCGCAGAGTTTGTATCGTAGACTTTAAGCAGCAAAAGACTCTGCGCAAGCTAGGCTGGTGCTTTTGAACCCCATGGGCACCAAAAAAGACAGCCGGACACTGGTCTCAACCCATTTCGTCCAAAGCCGTTTCGCCGAAATTTTTCTCCGCCTTCAGAGCTGAATTTTTGACCGTAAAGTCTACAATTTTCGAAATGATTATTGCTTTTTTGATTTAACGAATGATAAATGATTCAAAGTTTTGTTTATTATAAACATTTTGGTAGACTAAGCGATTTTGTAGCAAGGAATTTCTAGATATATGCTAACAAAATTAGTACCTCAGTTATAAAATGTCCATATTGTTGACTTTTTGGGAAAAATGCAGCTCTGAAGACGGTCAAAAAATTAGGCGAAATGAGTTTCGCGACGCAGCTTTCGGCGAACCCGCCCCAACCCAAAAAAAACGCCTTCTTGAAGAAGAAAAGCAGGCCCAAGATCACGAACCACTCCAATAATGATCGTCACGATCAGCATAGGTGAAGAAATCGCCGGACAAAATGGGCAGCTGCTTCCGCTCCTCCTTCAACCTCGATTCCAACGCATCAAAATAGTCAGCCAGGGTGCCGAAGCGGGCCTGAGACAATGTATTAACCCGAAAAAAATCCGCTACCTTCACGTTCCACTCTGGTCTGTTGTTCATATAATCGAAGAGCCGTTTGTAATTGTCGTGCTGATTATCCCACTCGAAATCATCCTGGTATCTAAAAAAAAACAAAATTTGGAAACTAGCCTTTCCGGAACCTGAAATCATCACCCAGCGGAATCAGCAGCACGTTGGTCTTGAAGAGTTGACTCTTCTTCCGGTATTGATCGTAGATCATGAATGCTCTAAAATAAAAATATCCTACTATATATAAAAAAATAGTGTCTGTGTGTGTGTGTGCATTTGAATGCAACTTCCGTCAGCGTGTTCCAGTAGTAACTCGATAGGGGAAAGTTTTTAAGTTAAGTTTGATACGTCATTAGGTGCGTAATGCTTCCGAGATGACTGCAGACGTATAATATTTTGCAAATTATCTTATTTTGAACATTAAAATTGGTTTTTTCTTTAAAAAACGGGCGCCCTCTTTGTTAGGAAAAAAATTAGCATGCACCGGAAGTGGCGATAGCCTATATAATCGGAGAGAGGGAGCGTTCTTCATCATTTCTCATGACAAATTCGGGCGAATTATGCAAAGGGTAGAATTTCATGGGCTTATACGGGCCAGGGTTGAAAAGTCGCGAAGCGGCTTTTCAACCCTGGTACTAACTAAATATTATAAATGAACAACCGTTGCGCGACATTCGTGCTGTTAATAGCCTGTGGAGGAACGCGCCAGTCGCAGGAGATTTTGCCTAAATTATGGTCAAGCATTCACAATTTTTCAAACCTCCTGGCAGCCGCTTGAAGTCAAACTGGCAGCAGATTTTTTGGTTCGGGGCCGCAAGTGTGAGGGATGTCATATGAGTAGAAGGGGAAGAGATGAGATCGGACATCGTGTCGGGCACCGGATCCTCCTAAAAGTGCTTATTTCGCGCAGGATTTTTCGCTGCTTCCAATTGATTCCATTAGTCTCATTTAAAAGGTGAAGGACCGCGTAAGCTTGAAAGTTTCCCGCTTTTACTTTGGCTAGTCCCAGGCTTATAGCTGTCTTACATTAGAGAAAAGATCCGCATCGCAGACATTTTATGCTGTTTCTGACGGGTATTTTGTTTGGTGATAAATGTTTGAAGTGAGCAATTTTCAGGCCCATCTAAAGCCAGAAATGCAACTTTTTTAACTTCCAAAATAGTATAGTCCCACGATTTCGAAGATTCTTTTTCGGGTCGCCTAAAAACCACAGGCTCGTAAAAATTGTAGTATTAAATTGATACTTTTTAAACATCCACACCAACCCCAGAATTGGCGCCACATAAACTCCAGTTGTTTCCTTTCAGCGAGCTTCTTCTTGACGGAGTAATGAACCTAAACATAAATCGAAATCAGCTTCCGACCAGCGAAGATACCCTTTGCAAAACGGCATCAGTAATGTTTGCCTCAGAGAGTAGCAGCGGTAGCGACGGGGACAACCCGAATGGATCGATCGACCAATGGCTCTTTGGCACAAATTCTTAACAACAAAATTTCAAGAAACCCTAAAAAAACCTTGGCCAACATTGTTCTGCAGAAATTCGTGCCCTTCAAATAGTTCGGTAATTATGGAGTGATAGTGAGCATTCGCCTAAAAAGAAAAATTGGCCTAAAGCCGTAAAATTTCGGCTCTGTCGCATTATCGGGGGAGGTCAAATTTATTTTTTAAGGACGCAATTTTTCTATATAAACAGAACACGGTTTCTAAGCTGTTTTACTATAGCTAAACAGCAAAGCGTTACAAATACAAAAAAAATCAATTTTACGACCAAAAATGGACGGTTTTCGAGCAAACTTCAGCTAAAAAATGTTTTCGAAGGTTTTTCTTGTTTTCGACATCCAATATCGTTAAATTTTACTAAAAACTGTTAAAACGCTTAATATCACTTTACCAAACATTTCCGGACTTACAGGAAAAAAAAAGTTGATTTCCTCCCCCGAGAATTAGAAAGAACCGAAAAATTAATAAACCTCGTCCGTCATTACCCAACCGCCAGTAACGATTTCCAGCTGTCCCGATTTGAGCAATCTGTAAAGCCTATGTGAGTATACCGAAAAGAAACATACAGTCTAACTTTCAGGCGTGTTTCTTCATCTTGCTCGGCCCACCACATCTCGAAGAAGCTCATCTAAAACATTCAGCTTTATCAAGAAAATCAGACGCTCACTTCCGCATAAATAAATTTCATGGCCGGCTTTTCGCTCAAATGCTTGACCATTCCATTCAGGATATTTTTCGTTTTACTTTGATAGTATTCCTCAAACGTCATCAGCCAGCCTGAAAGTTTATAATACCATGCCAGTGGCCTATTGGCATTTTTCCTAAACTCATCTACGGGTGGTTTCGATATTTAGCGAGTTTTAGTAAAAATGAACTTTGGGAAAAATGAATTCCAAGCAATTCTCTTTACCCGGGTCACAGTGGGAGTGCGGCACGACGAAAACTTCCAAGCGTTTTTCCTGTTGCACGTCGTTGGCATTGTATTTTAACTGAAGAAAACTATAGCGGCATACTGATTATTACCTCCCATCCTTGTTTCCACACTCCTCCATCAACATTATCGAAGGGGATAATGTTGTACATGTCCAGCATTTGCACATCAGTGTTGGCGCTGCTGTAATTCAGCATGGCCGAGCACTGATCCCTTCTAGACTGGACGGTACGCGCGGCATCAGCAATGGCGATTTCACTTGGAGCTGAAAACAGTAAAAAACGGCAGGTTTTTAGGTGCTTTTCGCGTTTTTCCATGTGATATAGCTTAGTCGACAGAGCCTGAAATTCTGAACAAATCCTATTTTTCGAAAACTACGGGGAGGTGACGGTGTTCGCGTAACAATGCCAAGACGGTTCACATTTTCTTAAGCGCGGGTCAAAGAACTTTTCAGAGAAAATCTCTCCAAGCCCGTAGTCCTCTTGCAATTTTTAATATATGGTATTTGTGCAGAACTCCGCGCGCTATCGAATCGTACAACGCAAATCTCCAGGAGCAACTAAAAACGATTCCTTGTTAGCCCCCTCATTCTCGAATCGTGTATCTCCTCTACTCTTCGTACAACTAGGCTGTAAAGTAACTAAAATATCCGTCTTCGTTCGTCTCTAAATGATAATACATTACACCCGGGTCGAAAAAAAGAGATGGAATTAGGGGAATCTTGGCTGCGGGGTACTGAACTTTAGTTTCGCCGAAAAAATACCTTATAAAGTTTTAAAAACAACAAAATTAAAAAACTAACGGATAGGAAACTGAACAGGACTGTCTTTAGCGTTCCTTGCATCTTCCCCTCGCATTTCGGCGTTCAACTTGCCCTGGAAAAGAAAACTATGGCAAAAATACCATAAAAAGCGGTTCTTGAGTATGCGCACGAGGGGAAACCGACTTCTTTCCTATGATTTCAGGTTCACCGAGCAATCTAATATAAAGCTTTTATATCGTATTTAATAGGTCTTAACTTGATTAAAAGCAAAAAAACGTCAAAAAAGTTAGAAAAGTGTTTGAAAAGGTCGAAATTTGGTCATTTTCCGTCGAAAAAATCCATGGTTTGTTCCCCTCCTGCGAATACTCAAGATGGACAAGGCATTCAACGTATCGAAATCCACCTCAACTATGTTATCAGCACCTTCGACCGCTGACGCAACGTTGTCTAGTTCTAGAAGGGGATCTATAACTTAAGAATTGTACCATAGCTTACGAATTTCTTGTTTTCTCCACTGCTTCTCCAGTAATCTCCGCTTCACTTTCGCAAGAACGCCAATCTTCTTCTCCAAGACGTGGATTTCGGCTTTAAGCCTTCTGTATCTCAGACTAAATTCAGCAAGATGTGGTAATATGAATAAAATAACCAGCTGCTTTAGAAGTTCAGCCCGCTTTTGATCGACGGCAGTGTCGAAAACGCCGCATATGCGAAGGCTGATGAAGACGAAAAGGAACAGCAGCGGCACGCCGATCAGGACAAGCCTCTTCGAAAACCTCATCTCGCCCGCTCGATTCGAGCTGAAAGGAATTAAAAGGAGCATTGGAAAAACAATGAAAGCCAAGCAATATGAACACGAAAGATAATGTTAAGAGAAAAGGTGACTAGTAAAAAACAACTATTCTAGTAAAAAGTAAAAGACACACACAGAGAAAACGCTGGGACGCCCCGAGGAACCCTGTACGAGCTGGCGCCCATCCGAAGAGACTAGACCCGGGTGGAACGAAGAGGATGAAGTAGCAACGACTTTCTCTCAAAATTGAGCAACGTTTGCCGCAAAACCTTTTTTTAATGTTTTAAAAAGTTCGGAAATTCGGATGAAATTCGTGAAATGAACGTGAAACGTGCGAGAATAAGTTTTTCATAAGTTGGAAACCCATTCCGTTCCCAACTATTACGTTTTCGGTACAAAGGAGTCCTTCGTAGCCGCAAGCAACTAGCCAATGCTGGTCGAACTGGTTTAAAACATCCATAACTTTTGTTAGAAGCTAGTCCGAGCAGTTTTTTCAAAGAGAAACGCAAAACTGGATGAAATCTATAGATTCCAGTCAAAAAATCCAGTTTTTATTATTTAGGTATCATAAAGTGAACAATTAAAGTAAAGGTGTGGGGAGGGGAGGGGCGGTGTTGGGAGATGCGGAGGGGAGGTCTGGGGAGGTGGTTTTCAAAAAAATCCGTTTTTTTGGCGAATTTCGTCCTAATTAACGTTCGTAATTAATTTATAACTGTTTATTCATGCTGTCTGAACGTGATTAAAGGGTTTTATTAAGATTCCTTTGGAGCTAATTAACGGCAACTTCGCGATATTTTGATTGGGCGAAATTGAGGCAAATTAGCAAATTAGGATGGAACCGGCAAAACCCCTAAGTTTTACAAAAGAGCTTGTAAAACAGCATTTTTAGATAAAAACATGATTTTGAAGAGTGTGGAAAACTCTTCTTTTCTTATTGGGGCGCCATATAATAGACGAGATCTTTCAGTTTTTTGAACACTCACACTTACAATGTTCCTTGAGTTGAAGTTCCTTTTTTCGCGGCCGGAATTTTTGAAAATTATGCAAAGCTAAGAATATCCTGCGATTAGACGGGGCCAATGTTGAAAAGTCCCAAAGCCGCTTTTCCACCTTGCGTTTGTCTACAATTTTCCACATTTGCTGCTTGTTCCAAAAGAATTTGTATGTATATATCCAAGCGCTGGCCTAAAGTTGTTCTATAATTTTGTTCTATAATTCTACCATGGAGTGTGTCATACGAAAACTGCCGATTTCCAACGACTGTTGCCATTTTTCCTTCGTTGGTCAGGCGTTTTGACAGGCATGTTTGAAGGATCCTGCAGACATGACATGACGGAGGTTAAATTACGGGAGGGTTTTTGGCCCTCTGACGTAAGTGTGTGCCGGGGCGCGCTTTAGCAGTGACAGAGTTCCGAGCGCTCCACATTACGAATTTTCGTAAGGTGTATATAACGGAACTTTTTTCTAGCGTAAACATGCATGTTGTGCTCAAATGTTTCTTTTTTCATAATAAACAACATTTTATGGAATAATAACAACAAAAACAACAATAACAACAAGAACCGTAATTTCAACAACTTTAGGGCGAGTAGGGTAGGTTATCGGGCGGTTTCAAAGTAAGCTTAGCTCGTTTCGTGGCGCGGTGTTCCAGGCGCTCTGCACGGAAACGCTCGGCTGCTTCGCGAATGGGGCCATCTCTTTCGATGCGTTTGCCTAATGATTCACTGAGGTTTGGATTCCTTCTCGCAAAGGCGGCGCTAATTTCTTTGAGCTGTTCGTTCGCCTTGATAGCAAAGTCCAAATCCTCTTCTGTTTCTCCGCCATATCTCAAAACATCAAATCGAATGCCGACCAAGTTCTAAAACGCACGGGTTTTTGAATAAGGGATGTCTTACATTAATAATTTCTTCCTTGATGCTTTTGATCTGGGCAACGACGTTGGTAGAAGTGCCAGGAGCTGCATTTTCATCACTTTCAGATTGATAAGTTAAGGTATTTGACTAACTTGGCTGGCTCGTCGTCAACTGGTGCCAGAAGCGCATGCTGATCTTCAGGTTCGATGGCATCCAAGAAGGCTTCATCATGGCGCGCCGGGCTTGCGCTTGGAGTTGAGACAGAGCGCGAGCCAAGTTCAGGGACTAAAGACGGTTCATTTTTGTTTTAAATTATTACATTGCATGAAGATCATGTGAATGTGTTTGCAGTTAATGCCTGCCATCGTGCTCGACGTACAATCACATTTGAAGCTATAGGCGCAGGCATGGCAATCAGAACAGTGTAAATTTTCGTTCTAAATTAGTTTTGCAGGATATCTTATGGACTTACTGGGTCGCACGGGCATTTTGAATATTGAACCACTTGATAGCGTCGCTCACCACCGGACGATTTGATAGAATAGCAGTTGCCGGCCTCGACGATGATGTCTGCGGTGAACTGGTCGACGGCGCGACGATGCCGACGCTTGTTTTCCGCTTGTCGCTTGGTGTTGGAAGAGTAGCGGATATCCTGGACAGCCATTCGAGCTCTGTACTTCACTGGGTGTTCAAGCAGTCTGTGCACGAGCGTGTCCAGGCGGCCGGTGGTTTTTCCTTGTAGTATTTCTCCTTTCAGGCGGCGGTTGAAGGTTTCGGCGGCCATGGACGTCGCGAAAGGAGCATCGATCCTCGCCCATGCAGCCCATTCATTCATACGGCCGAGAAATTTTTTCTTCAAGGAGGTTACTAATGTAAGTCCTACTTATTTGTTTTACCTTTAGATAATCCAAAAATTCCAGTTCCTGGTGCGAAATCAAAAACTGCTGAATTTTGTGAAGTTGCTTGTCGAATTCGCTTTGATCGATGATGTTATGAAGAAGAGTCATCATTTGCATTATAGGCTCTTTTAGAGACTTCTAAAAAAATCTTTATGAGGTTACTTAGGACCAACTTGATTTAGTCGTTTCGTGTTGCGCCGGATTGTTTGTAAGCCGTGCCATTTACATAAGACTTTCTTCGAGGTA